TGGCAATTCTAGACTGTAAATTCCCAGACTCCTTTGCGAATAGGTGGGCCCACATGCCTGTGTGATGGCTAATGGAATATAGATAAAAAGAAATTCCACATCTATACTCAGAGCTTAAAACCCCTTCGTAGGAGCCTCCACACTACCTTTTCTCTACCATCTGTTGGCTGGATGTAGAGGAGCCAGGTGAGGAGGCCTTGGGAGACAACAGAGCCACAGATAGTTATCAGGTAAAACTTCCTGGCAGTCAGAAGTGAGCTGACAGGAGTAAGAGAAGACAGGATGGCAGAAAGAGCAGTTCATTCCAGAAGCTCATGGTACCCACCTGAAACGCAGGGATGCCCGCTCTAATGACAGCACAGCTTTGTACCAGGAAAAAGTATATTCCAGTGGACAGAGTGATAGGAAGGATCTCGAGTCTCTGTTTAGAAGTTTGGCTTTGCATGAGTACACATCATCAGCTACCATTTTGTTCCTCAAATACCATTTTATGTTCTTGGCAATTCTAGACTGTAAATTCCCAGACTCCTTTGCGAATAGGTGGGCCCACATGCCTGTGTGATGGCTAATGGAATATAGATAAAAAGAAATTCCACATCTATACTCAGTGCTTAAAACCCCTTCGTAGGAGCCTCCACACTACCTTTTCTCTACCATCTGTTGGCTGGATGTAGAGGAGCCAGGTGAGGAGGCCTTGGGAGACAACAGAGCCACAGATAGAAGGAGCTTGATCTTTGAATTGTGGCATGGTTAACTGACCACCTTTGGGGAAACATATAGCAAAAGAAAAAAAGACTCTTATTTGGTTAACTCCATTAAATTTTATAAATCTTTGTGGTTTTGCTATAGACATAAGGCAACCTGATAAAACAGGAAAGGCAGAATTTGGAAAGGCATGGAAAGGTGACACAGTAAAGACCAAGTCCAGGCAAATCCAACTCCATTACGGAGCGTGAACAGCTCTTGGGACTGCTGGGGTTGGAAAAAGGGAAATATGGAAGGAGGATGAAAAACCAAAGAGCCTTCAGGTTGATGTAGCAGTTTATTTGGCCAAAAGTGAAGCCTTCTCAGGGTGAAGAGGTCAAGGAGAGAGCAAAGAGGTCCTCATCTGGAGCAAGTTCACATCCCAACAGCAACCAGGCAGCACTCTTCCTAGACCACAGTGTTATTCTTCTGCACATGCTAGTGGTGGGCCAGACAGAACTTAGGGGATTAGCATTGTTTTAAAGGACTCTCTGAAAGAGAAAAAAAACGAGTGCTTAGAAGTCAAGAACCCTGGTAAAATCCATTTCCAAACTCAATAGCACCCGAGGCTACAAACAAGGACAGAAATTCGTTCTGTTGCATCAGTAGTTTCCCATTGTTAACCAATGCCTCCCAAGAGATTTGTTGATTGGGCATGTAAGTGAGGAGCAGGTCTCTGAATCTGGCCTAAAACAGGAGGATCAGTAATTGAATCCTTGGCCAAGGGGGAGTATGAAACAGACCGGGGTTAGTTTGAGGGAAGCAAAGAAACTGAATGAAAGTAGGGCAAAAGTAAAAACTCCACTTTGGTGTCCTGGGGTGTTTGTTAGTTCATTTTTTTGTATGTTTTTATGTGGTGAGTCGCGGCCTACATTGAGAGATAGTGGCCCATTGCCTTACATTGTTTCTTTAACCAGAATTTGAGCAACTGCAGTCTTGGGTCCTGAGCCACATTTTGTGAATGGCAGTGCGGAAAAAAAAAAAAGCCAAGCATCCCCAGGCACTAACCTCCCCACCCCCAGCCAACTCACTCTCTGTCCAAGCAGATATTTCCACAGTAGGCCCAACAGCATGTAAGATTAGGGTTCACGCAAGTCTGCAGCCGCGTGCACCTGTTTGCACAGTACTCTGATGGAGGTTGCACCCAGCACTCATCAACTGATGCCATTTCATCTGGAATAGAGACAGTAGAAGTTGGCAGAGTCGACCCACTCACAACTGGGAGAAGCAAACCCTTTTCAAACTAAACAATCCCTTCTGGAAATTGGGCCTTAAGCCACACATAAAGCACTTCTATGCTTTCCGCAAAAACCCCTCCCACAAATTCAAATCAGTGTCTCTTCACAAGAGACTGTCCTTGTATCACGTGTTTCTCCCTTCCACATATCACTACAATACTGGGAGGCTTCAGATCCTAAAGATAGGACCAGGGACGTCCTAACCACGTATGACACCATGCCACCAAATTTTTAGCTTCAAACCTTAGATCTCAGGGCCTGCACCGTCTTCTAGCCCTAACTTCCATAGCCAATTACAGAATAGAAAAGCCTGGCTAAGGAGAACAGGAGCCTGCTTTTCCCCCTACTTAGTCCCTGCTTACATCACTTCGGTACTGACCGAGACGCTCACCTCTTCCGAATTACCCTCCACGTTCTTCACTGTCCTCCAGCTCTCCTGCTCAGTCCCTTTGTTGCCCTCATTTGTATCACTTGGCCACACGACCCACTAAAGAGCCCCTATCTGTGTTTTCCATTTTTAATGCTCCCCCCACCAAAGTACTTGTGCTAAATATCACCACCTTAGAATCTGTCAAAGGCTCACCCAGCTGTGGCTCAATGACTTTGGAGTTAATCTTCTCTGTGGGCTGACACAGAAGTTGGTACTGTGATTCCTCTGTTCAGACTGGCCTGGAGTTAGCATTATTCATGCTAGTGCGTGGAGTGTACGCAGGTGTTATGGTAAACCCTTTCCATATGCTCACTATTACTTTCAGAGCTGGGAGAAGGACCTTGAAGGGACACCAGACTGGGAACAGACAACTAATCTTTCTGGGATGTCTTTGTTTCAGGCTGTGGCCCTTTAAAGGCTGATCCTGGAAAAATGGGCCTGAATCAGCTGTGACAGACAGCACTGTGCACCTGAGAACCACCCCCACCTAGGAGCGCCAGTGTCCATGGAGTGACAACGTTCCCACTCTTCCTGTTGTTCCTCCCTCTCTCTGCACCATTACCACTCTTGTGTTTTGTCCTGAGGCTTCCCAGCACGGGCAGATGGACACTGACGAACGTGAGGAGCAGGCAAATCCAGAACTTCATGGTTGTTCCTATGTGGATTTCAGACAAAGTTCTGACAGGAAACAGGTCTTCTTTCCTGATGCTGCTAGAGGTAGAAAAGAGATTGGAGGTGAAGAAGAAAGACAGAGAAAGTGATGGAGCGTACTGTGCTATGCTTTCTCTTGTTTCTTTTTCACCCTCTGGTACCCGATGACATACCCACCCCCAACCTGTCCATTAGCACCCAGAGGCTTCTTACCATTGCACGCCCCATACCACTTCCTTTGCAAACATTTTTAAACACATTACTGTTATGACTAAAAAGCAACAAATCTTCAGATTATGTGATGTTTTTTGATACTGGGGATCAAACTCAGGACCCTGTGCTTGGGAGGCAGATGCAGTGCCACTACTGACAGGTGAACACAGCTTTCACATTGTGCTATATTCCCAGCCCTTCCCCCTTCATAAAGACAGCGTCCCCCCACACTGGGCTCCAACTTGTGATCCTCATTCCTCAGCCTCTGATTGCAGATTGCAGTGTGATTCCTGGCATGTGTTTTTGCTTTAAGGGACAGGAGCACACACAGTAACACAATAAACCCCAAGCTATTGATTCCATGAGGCTTTTTCTTTGTATTCAATGATATCATTTTAGACTCAAGTTTTTCAGAGCCTGGAAATCCACTGACTTCAAAGGCCCCATTCTTAGTCTAGCACTTTTGCTCCCTCAGATTGCAGTGTGATTCCTGGCATGTGTTTTTGCTTTAAGGGACAGGAGCACACACAGTAACACAATAAACCCCAAGCTATTGATTCCATGAGGCTTTTTCTTTGTATTCAATGATATCATTTTAGACTCAAGTTTTTCAGAGCCTGGAAATCCACTGACTTCAAAGGCCCCATTCTTAGTCTAGCACTTTTGCTCCCTCAAGGTGTTCAGGGTCTCAGGGATAGACCATTCCTTTTCTGTACGCTTCAGTTATACTAAATTATTCCAGAGAATTGAAGGATCCTGAGAAGGGCACTTCTCATGTTATGCCAGGTGCTTCTCAAGGAGTTCTGGGCAGATTCTTTTGGTCATTTGAGATTAATTTTCGGACAACTCAATGTACAATAATCGCTGTGAAAATCAGGATGGAGATGCCTCAACAAACTAAAGCTAGAAATTCCATTTGACCCAGCTATTCCTCTGCTAGGATTCCTCCCAAAAGAGTTAAAGATATCATGCAATATTACAGAAATGAATCCATAACCATGTTTGT